TTTGCTACAACGCCTACGGGGTTTTCAAGGACAGGGAGATGTACGGTAAAGTTTTCGGGGACGATGAGAAGCTGAAAAGGTTTCTGAGGTGGAGGGTGCAGATAATGGAGAGGGGGGTCAAATTGTTGCAGCTGAAGCCTGGAGGTGTTAATTCTATCATCCAAGTCACTGATCTTTTTGCTACAACGCCTACGGGGTTTTCAAGGACAGGGAGATGTACGGTAAAGTTTTCGGGGACGATGAGAAGCTGAAAAGGTTTCTGAGGTGGAGGGTGCAGATAATGGAGAGGGGGGTCAAATTGTTGCAGCTGAAGCCTGGAGGTGTTAATTCTATCATCCAAGTCACTGATCTTAAGGACATGCCGAAGAGAGAGCTTAGAGTTGCATCCAATCAGATCCTGTCTCTGTTTCAGGATAATTATCCCGAAATGGTCGCTCGAAAGGTGGAAATTTTTATTTTTTGATGATTTTGGCGTCTGGGTTTTGATTTTAACGGGGAGATTTGTGATGGGTTTGTTTGAAATTTTTTTTCTAGGTTTTCATCAACGTGCCGTGGTATTTCAGCGTGCTGTACTCTTTGATCAGTCCTTTCCTGACTGAGAGGACCAAGAGCAAGTTTGTGATAGCTAAGGAAGGGAATGTTGCTGAGACCCTCTACAAGTAATTAAACCTCGATAATTATTTTTCAGATTTTGAGGCTTAGTTTTGAGTTTGAACCTGATTGATTCAAATTTTTTTTTTGAAATTTTTTTTGCAGGTTTATTAGGCCAGAGTTCGTACCAGTTCAGTATGGAGGGTTGAGCAGAGCGGGGGATTTGGATAATGGGCCCCCAAAGCCCGCTTCAGAGTTCGCAATCAAAGGCGGAGAGAAAGTGAACCTTGAGATTGATGGCATTGAGGTTAGCATTTACTTGTTAAGCCCATAATTGTTTCTCTAGCTAGCATTTCGTTGTTTTTGCATGCATTTTATAACGACCTACCGATGTCGATTTCTTATAAATTCGGAATAATTTTGGGACAAATTTTCAAAACCGACCCATTTGTGAATTTAATCTCAAAAAACAATCTCATTCAAACAAAATTGTAAAAACTGACCTGGTTTCAGCCCTGAGGCTGAAACCAGGTCGGTTTTTGAAAATTCTTTTCCGAAACTTCACGGGAGTTGGAGTTGAAATCCCGTGAAGATTAGTAGATCTGTTAAACTTCACAGGAGTTGAACTCCCGTGAAGTTTCATAGTTAAAAAGTAAATTTTGAACTATAAAACATGGGAGTTCAACTCCCGTAAAGTTTCGAATTTTTTTTCTCCAAAAACCGACCTGGTTCTGTTTTTGTAATTTCTTTCGAATGAGGACGTTTTTTTAGGAATAAAAGTTTAAATGGGTCGACTTTGAAAATTTGTCCGATAATTTTGTTAAAAATTTTATGACTTTGATTTTTTTTTGTCGGGTATGATTAGAGCGGGGCAACGATTACATGGGACATCGTGGTTGGAGGCTGGGACTTGGATTACAGTGCCGAATATGTGCCGAACTCTGAAGGGAGCTACACGATTGTAGTGGAAAAAACCAGAAGGATTCCTTCAGATCTCGAGGAGCCGGTTCACAACGTGTTCGCCTCAAAAGAAGCAGGGAAAATGGTTTTATCCATTGATAACACGAGCTCGAGAAAGAGGAAGGTTGCTGCGTACAGATACTCTGTGCGCAAACCCACCTCGGCTTTATCCTAATTAGGTGATTAGTGATGGCATCAGGCCCTTAATTATGTCGGTTAATAGGCAGGGGATGATGATGTAGTTTGCTAATGTAGCGGTTTATGTAATTTTTGTAATGTTTGGGGGGTTAAATGAGAAGAAATTTGAAAAGTTTGGTCAAGGAAAGAGGAGTCACGGGGGGTGGCGTGCTGGTTGATGATGGCGTCCTGCCATCAGCGCTTTCTCGTTTCTCGAAAAGAGAGGGTGCGTTTTGATTAAAAGCAGCGTAAATTGTGGTGACTTTTGTTTTTTTTTAAAGTTATTTTCTCGCCTTTTTGCTGATAGGTACAAATATTTTATCCTAATTCGGGGTGCCGAATCTTCTGATGAGTTGGAATGGACGAAGTCGCGTTCGTTTCAATTCGGGTTATTACCCAACCGACCCGTACCCGTTAAGGGCAACTTGCTTTTTGTCACCTCTTTAATCATGCCTTCCATTTGTTTAGGAGAGAGTTCATAATTTACTTTCATTTATTTTGATGAATGTTGATTAAAATGATATCATTATAATTTGTCTTCGTAATTAAACGGTGAATGACGGCAATGCCCTCTCTTCACCTTTATGTATCCCTAAAAGAAGAATGTCATACATCTCTAGTCATTTTGAACTAATCTTACTGTTATCTAACATCTGGATACACTTCGTATCCAAACTTTTGTATTACATACTTTTATCTTTAATTGAACAGGGTATATCCCTTGTTTTTCTATCAAAAAATAAATTAAATGGTAACCTATGAGATTATCATGGCCTGAAGCGCAGAAAGTTAAACGTCAAAATTTTAAACGGACACCAAAGAAATGTGGGAGTAGGGTTGTGGATATTTTTTTGTCCTCTCTTCCTAGTCTCGCAAACGCAGACAAACAAAAACTTGATTGAGAAAGTAATGAGTCTAATTATTAATTTTTAATTTATAGGTGAGGTCATATTTAAAGTTACGAGTACAGTGCACGTGTGTTGCTCTACGCGTACTTGTTTTACGTTTTGAGGTTGCTTCGTGAATAGGGAAAATTGATGAAGTAGCTCAAAGAAAACAATAAAGATTATAAATTAAAGGAGTTTTGAGTTTTATATGTAAATTTAAAAGCAAAAAGAGCAAAAATGTTATAGAGGATTCATGTGAAACAAAAAGGATGATCATTATTTTCGACTCTCAGTTGATTGATTCTTTATTTTTGAATTTCAGGCCAAGCAAGGGATATACTAGGCTAACATGAACTACATCAAAAATTAAATATTCTCAGTAATAACTAATATAGATCACGTTTTATCTCACACTTTCAACATGCCAAAGTGATTTTTCTCACATACACTCACATTCAACATGATAATGGTTAGATAATACTTACCAACAAATCATGATTGTTGAGTGCCTACAGCAGTAAACCATGGTATGCCTGTTATTACTTTTTATTTTTAAAAAAAATATCGTCTCAGTATTTCTTTTTCGTATGGGTCTCTAATTAATTTGTTTGTTTGGGAGGTTTCTGTAACAACAACTAATTCAAATTATCATCCTTCATGAAGCAATTTTTGTTGGAAGCTTATTCATGAAAAGGCAATTTTGCCTTTGTGAATAGTCCCACATCGGAAAATGAGATGAATAGTAAATGGTATATAATGGTTCTCTCCTTATTGGGCTTTGAATAGTGTTTTTGGTTTTGTGGGCTTTGCGGTTCTACCACACACGCGCGCGCGCGCACGCCGCGCCCGCACGCCACAGCCGGACACTTTTGCTTCTCAAGCCTTCATTTTTGCACGTTTTACACATTTTGTAACGGCTGCATGCGGGTAACGGAAGCATTAACCGTGCGTAACGGTCCCTTGGATTCAGCGGGGGTTACACCTTTCATCACCTATAAAAGGAGGCTTGGAGCTCATTCAGAAACACACCAACGAAGAGGAAAATCTCTACACTCTCTTCTCTCTACTCTTATACCTCCAATAAAAGATTTCGGCTACATATTTACATATTCTATTTTCTGGGCAACTGTTTTCGTCTGAGCATAAGCTCTGTGTCTCACGCCCGAGTGCAGAGGATGGCCGATTCCGGGGGTTTTTACCGTTAGGGGAGAGAGGACAAACTGCGCCAGGGCGATAGGCGGGTCCTTAATCTTCTAGGGCAGTGATATCACGACTGCTCCCAATCAGGCCTGAATTTTCTAACTCTTTAATTTGTTTTATATTATTATTGTTTTGACAGCAATCTAGAAGATTAAATAATAATTCTTGCTGTTAAGTTAATTAGTAAAAAAAAATTAAAAATAAAAAAATATATAAAAATAAAAAAATTACTGTTCATCGGGATTACTGTTCACCCGAATTTTATATATTTGTTGTATTAGTTAATTGTTTTAATTTGTTGCATCTAAATTAGTAAAAAAAAAAAATTATTATTTCTTTGCTGCTTCTGTGCTCAAATTCAGTATCTGTCATAAACAAAAAATCTTTAAGTGAACCGGTTCAAGTTTTCTTGGATTAGTTGGTGTCTAAGGAAAGGTTTAAGGGTTGCGTAAAGCGCTCTGCAAGAAACGAGGTACTTAATCGATCATTGATCAACCTCTAGTACTATCCTTACCTGGCCAAACTACCCGAGTAAAACTTTAATCTTTTCACTTTTAGAGTTTTTGGTTAAGAGCAGGTTTAATTAAGTTTCTGGTCTAGTAATATTGACAAAATCCTTTTTTATATCAGATTACATCTACCTAGACTAGTAAACTTAAATTGGACTTATGGCAATTCCTGATCATTCAAAAAGTGTCAAACCTGAGAAGTTCACCGGTGTTAACTATAAACGGTGGGCTAATCAGATGAAATACTGGCTTACTACCTTAGGTCTTTTATCTGCTATTGACACTTCTGAGTCATCTACTAGTGGTTCTCAACCTTTGACTCCTGATCCTGCTCAACCTGCTCCTTCCACTTCTGGTTCTGGTGCTAGCTCCTTTTCTAGCTCTATGAAACCAGAAGAAATCAACTATCATTGTTGTCATAGGATCCTTAGTGCACTTGCGGACAACCTTTATGACATATATTATGAGTTCAAAAGTGCAAAAGAACTATGGAATGCTCTTGAAGCAGAATATGGCTATGATGATGCCGGAATTCTGCGTTTCACCTCCTCATCATTCAATAAGTTCACAATGGTTGATGACAAGCCCATTAATGAACAAATTCATGAATTCCTAGATTTCCTCCGTCATCTCCAATCAAAAGGAAACACTTTTACTGACGATTATAAAGTTTCCTGTTTGATTGATAAACTTCCTCCCTCCTGGTCTAGATTTGCTGGAGATCTCCGACACAAGCAAGGAGATCTAACCTTAACTGAAGCCCTCAAGGCTATTCGTATTGAAGACCAGCATAGGCAAAATTCCAATACCAAGAATGAAACAAAAGCTAAAGTAAACTTGGTAGAGGATAAGCCTAAATCTAAGAATTTCAAACCCAAAGGGAAGAAATTCAAGAAAAATCAACAATCTTTCAACAAATCCTCCTTCAAACCAAATCCCAATTCTTCCAGCCATAAGTCTGATGAGAAGTTCTGCTTTGTCTGTGGTAGAACCAACCACATGGCTCACAACTGTTTCTTTCGGAAGAAGGAACCGGCCAAACCTGCCCCTAAAGGAAATGGATCCAACAAAGTTAATATGATTGAAATGAATCCAACCTCCTTCAGGTTAGCCTCTTCATCTCATCTTGTAAATTCTCTAACTTCTTCCACTGATTGGTATTTGGATTCCGGAGCAAATATCCACGTCTGTAATGACCGCTCTTGGTTTTCAAATTATCAGGAATCACGTGGAGGAAGCATAAGCTTAGCAGATGACTCCACTAATTCAATAATAGGAAGTGGACGTATAGAGCTCACCATGACTTCTGGGAAAGTTCTTCATCTGCAAGGCGTTTATCATGTTCCTTCTCTCCGTCGCAATCTGATTAGTGAATCTCTTCTTCTTAGAGCTGGTTATAGGATTGTAAAAGAATCCAATAAATTTGTGATTACAAAGAGTAATGTTTTCATAGGAAAAGGTTTTATCTGTAATGGCCTTTTCAAACTCAATGTAATCAATTCCAGTTCTAATGAAATTTCTGAGTCTTCTGTTATTCAAATTGTTGAGTCTTGTGATGTTTGGCATGGACGACTTGGACATGTTAATTTCCAAACCTTGCAGAGAATGAGTAAATTAAACCTCATTCCTAAATCTTCTCATGATCCCTCATCTAAATGTGAAATCTGTGTTCAAGGGAAACACACTAAAAAACCCTTCAAGTCTATAACTAGAAACTCTGAACCCCTCGAATTAATTCATAGTGATGTGTGTGACTCTAACCGAGTTCTCACCCGAGGGGGTAGGAGATATTTTGTGACTTTTATAGACGATCACTCCAGATATTGTTACACCTATCTTCTCAAAACTAAAGATGAAGTCTTAGATAGGTTTAAGGTGTTCAAAGCTGAATCTGAGAACCAACTTGACAGGAAGATCAAGATTCTAAGATCTGATCGTGGGGGGGAGTATACCTCAAATCATATGACTGAATATTGCCAAGAACACGGTATTATTCATGAGGTTACTGCTCCCTATACACCACAGTCTAACGGGGTAGCTGAACGAAAGAATAGAACCCTAATGGACATGGTGAACTGTATGTTACTCAGTTCAGGAGCACCTGAAAATCTCTGGGGTGAAGCTCTTCTTTCTGCTTGCTTCATTCTCAATAGGATTCCCCAGAAATATTCCGATACAACTCCTTATGAATATTGGAAGGGGAGATCTCCTAATCTAAATTTCTTCCGGGTTTGGGGTTGCTTGGCTAAAGTAGCTATTCCCGAACCTAAGAAGAGAAAAATTGGTTCTAAGACTGTAGATGCTGCTTTTATTGGATATGCACTTGATAGCAATGTTAACAGATTTTTAGTCATCAAATCTGAAATCAGTGACATATCCAACAATACCATCATTGAAGCAAGAGATGCAGTCTACTTTGAAAACATCTTTCCTTTCAAATCTAAAATCTCAGAAAATCCCAGATCATCCATTCCTTCTGATCTTCCATCTTCCAGTTCTTTTCAACCTCTTGATATTGAACCTCGAAGAAGCAAAAGAGGTAGAATCGAAAA